CTGGAGTACAAGATACAGCGGAGAGCGCTGCGGAAGGAGGATTTCATTAATTACATTCAGGTAGGCCTCACTGATCGGCAGAGCGTGCTAACTCCCCGTGTCGGTGCAGCTCAGGAGATGGCGATTCCGTGGTTCCCGAGGTCGGAATGGGGCTGCTTCGGGACGCCTCTCCTCCCCTGCTGCCTGCTGATCTCTTGTAAGCGGTGTATTGGCATACGCTTTGTGTTCAAACACACCAGAGCATGCAGCATAGCCAGGAATTGGAGCCTGCGTTTGGGATGAGAGAGTCTTCTTTCCTGTTTTGACTTTTCCCTATAGTTTCTTCTCCAGGGATGCAGAGACCCCGGTTCCCTGATGTGCTGTGCAGATTGTGATTAACTGTAATTAATTTTTTATGGTGTTAGAAGATTGGTTTGTGCGTTATAATTCCAGGAATATGTGGGGTGCTAACAGTTCGTCTGAAATATCACATGCAATACAAATACTCAAGCTTACATTCAGTCAGCCTTAGAAATGTAGTGATCTGGGCAAAAAAATTGCTGCTTATGTTTTCTTGGGTGCAATTTTAATGCCCCCCTGATTAACTATAAAGAACTTCATCTCTGTTTTTTTTTCCCTTGCTGTTACATGTCTCATTTACTTTTAAATCTTTTTTTTCACCCCATTCCAGTATGAAATTAATCTTCTGGAACTGATCAAGAAAAGAAGAGCAGTAAGTTTGTCAGTTATTTAGAGTATAAAATACTTTATGCCAAATTCTCTATTGCAATAGAATTAATACTTTTTTCCCCCCCGAGCGCATTGGCTATTCGTTTAAGAAGGATGAAATTGAGTACTCTATTCTGCATAGAGTCCATAGCCTCTTCAACCGTGCTACCGGAAAATGGAAGGTAGGTTTGTTTCTTTCATTTGTACTGATAGGTTGAAAAATACCCTTTTGGTATGTTGTAATGTAAAAATTAATCTACATGTCACTGCCACCAAATATTTGCGATAATTTAGAAGGATGTAATAGAAAAATTAAGTGGGCACTTGGTCTTACAGTTAGCAGTAGCCTAGAAGTAGATAATTCATATCAGATAGACTTTTTTTTTTTTTTTTTACACAAACAAGATTTTGTCCTTTCTGAGTCATTAGTTCTCAGCTGTCTAGAGCCATGTATTGCCATGTGAATTTGGTCTGTGCTTGCAAGGGCTAGAAAAAGAATGAAAAGAACTTTCAGCTGCTTTAGGAAAAGATTGTCTTGATACATCTAATGGTAAAACAAAATGAGGTGCCTCAGGAACCATTACAGTTAGCTCTCTGAGGTCATTGTAACATAGATTTGATTGGAGGGGCTGTGGAGATGTGTCTTGAGATGGGAGGACTGGTTTTCTTCAGATGTTTTGCAGGAATTTGCAGATATGGGGGGGAAAAAAAGGGAATTTTTAATTCAGAATTCCTTCTGTCTGCATGCCAAATCATTGTACTGAGGGCGTATTGTTTGCTTGTCAATGTGCAAGTGATTTTGTGCTTGCCTTATTGTGTGATGGATTCTCTCCCCGTTGCATTTCCAATAGGATGATGTCCAGCTTTGGCTTTCACATGTTGCATTTTGCAAGCAGTGGGTAAGTTTTCAAAATCTTAATCTTACCTGATTTGAGATACTGGATTGGTGTTTAATCAGGCATTTGGAACTGGAATTACAAGACATCAGTAGAAACTTTACCACATGCTGTGATACTGAACTAGTTTTGATAGTATTATTGGAGCTGCCTGAGATTTTCACTGATGATGATGTGTAGAATTTGACTCAGAATGAATTAGTCAGAAATTTGATACTTGCAGGTGGCAAAGGTGAGGCTAATTGCATTGAACTTGGAGTACCATTTGCTTTGGAAGAATCATAACATTGGTTATATGGTCTCTGGAATGAATGGATCACCTGTCTGTGAAATGTGATTTTGTTCCAAATGTTTCGTATAGTGGCTATGCTGAGAAATGTATTTCTGGCAGTTCTGTACTTTGTGAACTTATCTGTGCAAGTCTTCACATTATTATTAGCATGCAGTCATTGTCCTTCCTCTACTGAAGAAGGTGACTCTGTCTTAGTAATGCGAGTGGACAAAGGAGGAATGCAGTCTTTGCCTCAAAAGCAGTCAGTGAGACTATGGGTTTGTGACTAAGTCAGCATTTGTGTTAGCTGTGTAGCTCAGACAGGTTTGATTTAGCTGTGTTAGTCTAGTCTGGTAACGTTTGGAAACTGGTCAGTATTGAACAAATAAGAGAAACGTTGTGCTGAAGATAAAGTAGCAGAGAAGTGTCTTTTCCAGTGCAATTGCATTACTACTTGTAACCTTACGTAATGAAACTTGGTGCTGGAGGTTCAGTTCAGTGCTGGAGTGGGTAAAACAGAACTTCTTTTTTTACAGAATGCAAAACATCAGCTTAGTAAGGTATTTTCTACCATGTTGGCCATTCATCCCAATAAACCAGGTAAAGAAAACAATGGTGGATGCTGTGTAATTGACTGGGTATAAATTACGTGTTGGTTTAAGTGCTTGTAGATCTCATTTCAAGCTATTGGGGTAGAAGTTCCTACTCTCTTTTCTTTGCCTTGCTGCTACTTCAGAGAGAGAGGCTGTGACAGGGCTTGTGCTGAGCAATCAAAAGAAGTAGGAGTCCCCATGGTCTGAATGACCATTTCACCAGTAGGTTGGGGACTGGGTTAATGTTTGAGGTAGGAGATGTTGAATACTCACGGCTGCTTTTCGGCTTTTGAAGACATCGTTGTACATGATTGTGTATGTAGCTATACCAGATTAAACTTCCTGGATCTGTTTAGCTTTTAGTCCGTTAACTCGGTTTTACCTGGGAGATAATCAGTCTTATTCCATTGCTGAGCTCGTGCATTATGTTGGGGTGGGTACGTTGAACAACAACAACCTGGGCATCCTGGAGAGTAGCTTCAAAATGGGTTCTCATGAGCAGCCACTTGCTTTGCCTTAAAATGAATTTATTTTTATTTGTTGCAGAACTGTGGATTATGGCAGCAAAATGGGAAATGGAGACACAACTCTCGTCAGAAAGTGCTAGGCACTTGTTCCTTCGTGCATTGCGCTTCCATCCAGAATGCCCAAAACTTTATCAAGAAGTGAGTTCCTGGGTTTATTCTACAACCAGTTATTTGATCAATGAGAGGAAATCAGTCCAGCATATTGCTCAGATGAGTCTGAGAAAACTGGAAAAAACTTTTTTCCCCATCAGTGGGGAAATGCTTTCAAAAAGAGTTTTTTTTTTTTAAAAAAAAAGGTACTTTGCACTGGTAACATTTTTGAGTTTAGCAAATCCTGTATTTATGTATGCAAAGTGAGGGTTTTACACTGTTTATAGATAAATGTGTCAGAATTCCCTTTTAAAGTACCATAAGCTCTGCTAGGTGATAGTTCTCTGGGTAAGCTCTGGCATTCCTAGCCTTTGCTAGGGAACATGGTTTTCTTTGAGGGCAAGTTAGGGTTTAAAGAATGACTAGAAAGTGGTAATTTCTACATGTGGAAAATTTCTGAGTAAATGTGTAGGGCGGATAGCTGTATGCACAAACCTCTACAAAACAAGGTTCTCAGACACACGTGGGATGTTGGAAAGGTTCTGATTTGTAGCTCCTCAGAGCTTGGTTTACCATTTGTGGACTTAGATGTTTTATGATTTATCCCCATGCCCACAGTAATTTCATTTTATTCTCTCGCAGTATTTCAGAATGGAGCTGATGCATGCTGAAAAACAAAGGAAGGAAAAGAAAGAATTTGAACAAGCAAAGATGGACTTGGTAAGAGATTAGTTAAGAGATATTGTCTGTTTGTGTGTCACACATTTGAATGCATAGTTTCAAGGGATCTGTATGAATGGTTTGTTTGAGAACAGCTTAGAGAAAGTTTTTGTTCATGTGCTGTGCCTGTGTTAAGCTTTTCAAGTGTTGGCTGGTGCTCAGCTCAAATACTTCATGTGTTGATTTTTCTTTATATTTGTAAAGTCTTCTGTTACATTCCCTGGTTTGAAAGTTAATAGTAATTTCTGGAAAGGAATAGTTAAACTTACTATCTCTTATTTCTTTATGGTTGACTTGAGCAAATTAGATAAAGACAGACTTAAAGAAAAACACTATCTTCTGGTGGTTTTTTCCATGTTTGCAAAAATGGTAGCTGATAAAGGAAGACAATTTTTTGAGTGATGTTATGCTTGATATTGCAGGGGGAATTCAATTATTCTGAAGAGATTCTCAATGGTGAAATGGCCCGCATAATCTACAGGGATGCTGCTCAGAAAATTAAAGGTATTGTAACATTTCTTGTACTTACTCAGTAGGAAAATTAATCACCTTTAGGTTAGCTCTCCAGTAGGTAATACAGATAGACCTAGCTCCAGTGTACACAGTAAGATATTTTCAAATATGTCATTTCTTCAGCAGAACCTAGATAATGCCAAAGTATAAATTGATGGTGCTGATAGTTCTGATTTCATAACTGTTATGAAGGCTGACGCCTCTTCCTGTACAACAGCTTTTGGGTTGAAGTGGCATAGGTGCTGGGCTTATAGTCTCAAAACCTGTGTGTTTAAAAAAAACATATACTGTGTGCAGCTTTGGAGAGGTCTGTCCCAAGTGTGGAGCGTTCTGTGTTTTTATGGCAGAGTCAAATGAAGGAGTAGAGGAGGTGCTGATTAAATTCGCAGGTGGAACCAAGCTGGCAGGATCTGCAAGCATATCAGGAGAGGACTAGTTTGTCACTTTGGAGTCTGGAATGTCCTGCCTCTCATGGATGTTTTTTTGTAACAGGGTAGCATGAAGTCATGAAGAAATATAGTCAGACAATCAACATCCTAACATACGGCTTATCGTATGGGTGCAACACCGGGATTTATAGAAAAGAAGAGGGTATCTATCTAGGCACTTAACGTGTTATCGGTTATCTTTGTCCTGAAAAACGCTTGCAAAGATACAGAAATGCAGAGTGTGCAATAGATGTAATACTCCATAGTGTTTTTTTTTTTTTCTCCTCTTGAAATGTAGGTGTTGAGTTCCATCTGGCTGTGCTTGCTATTGCAAAGCTCTTTGATTTTACCCAAGATTTGCAAAAAGAAATTCTTGAAAGGTGAGGTGTGGCTTTGAGTTGTGGGTTGGGTTTTTTTTTTAATTTTGTTTTGTTTTTTCAGAAACATGTTCTGATAACCTCTCTAATTTGTGGTGGGTTGACAGTTTAACAACTAAAGGTTGTTCCTCTAAGGAAATAAGAGTGTTAAGGCCTAAGGGAAATCCTTTAAGAAAAGCAAAACATGAGGCAAGCATGCTCTTTACAAAAGGATATTTGTATCTAACTTTAGAAAAGGCCTTGAGAAGCTGCTAAGAAAAATTTAGATAAAATACAGTTGTCACTGAATAATTACTACACTTAGTTTCTGTAAATTTACTGCAGGAACTGTGGATTTTCCTAGTGTACTTTGTGGTTCTTTTGCATCCTTAGTTTCTCCATGTGTTCCTCTCTTGAAAGAAAGATCTCTCTCAATCTCTTTTGAAAGTTTGTCTAGTTCATGCTATTACTGGTAAAATGTTTTTTCTCTGGCATTTGGGTACTTAGAAATCAATTACAATTATATATCAATATAACAACTCTTCTAAACGTACCTGCAAAAGAAGAATGGCGGTTGAGGGGCATGACAGACACATTGTGTTTAGTTTGCAGACCAAGTACGCAGATAATCCTCTTACATGGGACTACATGGCCCGTCGTGAGCTGGAGCTGGGGTCCCTGCAGTCCACAGAACACACCACAAAACAGATGAAAGTCTCTGAAATGACCCAAAGAGAGGAACGGTGCTGTGCAGTCTTTGAAGAGTCTGTGCGAGCAGTCCCGACAGGTGAAAAGTTCTGCCTGCATTTAAAACATGATTTTTTTTCCTGGTATTTTAGCATACTGTGTACTCTGAATGTTTTGAAGTAGGAGTTGGCAGGCTCTGCCATACCTGAGAGAAGGCAAGCAGTTTTTAGATGCTACCTTGTTGAGATTTATTTTATGGGTTATTTGGGTTATTTTTCAATGCATTTATTCTCTTGAAGGAGCTGCTTAAGTGAAAGTGCTTTTTGTTGCTTGTTTGCTTTTACTAATGTGATTTAACCAATGAGGAGAATAGAAGCCCACAGATGAATAGAGGTTTGGGAGTTGTAAATAGAGAAGATTTCCTAAGTGAAAGAAGCCTGTAGAACTCAAGTATATTGCTGGTTAGCTGTGAGTGAGTGATGTTTTTGAGTTGCTGGTGGAGTGGATATCCAACTTCAACATCCAGCACTGTCCTTACTCTCAAAGGAGGCTCTCAAGGGACTGTCTGTGGAGTGGAGTCACACCTCTGCTTATATAGCCTTTGAAGACAAGGATTTCCTCATCTGCCTGTGAGTGTCCTCACTCTCGCAGGCCCATTGAAAACTACAGGCAAAGGGTGCACTGAACATCAGTTGTGACAGCGTGCGCTGAAGCCTCAGCTGAACTAAGAGCTTGTTGTTCTTTAGAAAGAGTTACTGGCTGCAGCTTATACTGGGAAGCCGTTCTTAATGTAGGGTCTTTTTTAATAATACAACATTTTAAAACAAAGATGGCATTAACACTTAGTGCTTGGATTCTCTATATTCCTTAAAGATGAATATTTGTGCTTACTCTTGTGTTTCTATGAAGTATATTGTGCCTTTAATTCTACAGAGGACATGTGGAAATGCTACATCACTTTTTGCTTAGAGAGATATAACAGGAAGACCAACAGTGAAGAATTAAAGCAAAAGGTAAAAGCTTACTAGGAAATCATCCCTATTTTTACTGGCTTCTGTAATCTGTCAGATAAGGAACAAATATATTTTGGCATTTTATCAGAAATACCTGCGGCCATCATTAAAAATCATTTTGTCTCCATCTGAGGGGATCACTTTTACAGCCAGGTTCACACGTGGCCTGCCTGAACATGAATAACTTGGGCATAAACCAGCCTTGTCCATGAAGTACAGTGACCTCTTTGGATGGAAGTTAAAGTGCAGACTTTTTCATGTTCGCTGACAGTCCTGCAAACCTGCGTTCAAATAAAAGCATGAATTAAAATGACTCTTGCAAATAAATCTGAGGAAAGTTTGGTGCTGACATGTGGGCACTGTAATGATGCATCTATGCGTTAGTGTGACTTGGTGAATTAACTAATCATCCTGTGCAGTTTGGTTCCCTTCTAATACAGCAAAAAAGCATTGCTACCTTGTTCTTTTGTTCCTTAAGGAAGAAGTGTAATTCAAATGCTCAGATTTCCCCTTTATCTTGCAAATGTATGCAGGCACCTAAAGCATTAGATATGTAACTGTTTCTGAATTTCAGTGACATGTTGAAACACTGATGCGCTGGACTTCTGGTAATGCTGGGATCTGGTATATGCAGGAATAATGCTTATTTTCTTTGCTTTCTTCTCTGTTGGTTCTAGAGGCTGGAGAGGACGTTGAGTGTGTTCAACAAAGCCCATGAGTCCAGTTTGCTGCCAGAAGCTCTCTATAAGCAGTGGGTAAGAGCTGACAGAGAAATAGATTGTGAGACTGTCCCTCATGGTTTTGTGTGCCTGTCTTTACCATTTTGAGTAGATAGAAAAGCGGACAATATTGTGTTCAAGGCCTTGCTTTTTTAACAAGGTATTACACATCTCTTGTGCTGATTAGCTGTATCTGTTGGGTTTTAGCTTCAACTATTACTGGAGTCCAGCCTCTTTGAGAAGGCTACAGAGGTGGCAGAAGCTGCAACTGAGCGCTTCAGCCTGTCAGTGGAAATGTGGCAGATGAGGCTGCAGGTGCTGATCCAACTGAAGAGTGATGGTGTGGCCCAGTGTTTTGAAGAAGCCATTAAGCACGTGAAATCTAAGGTCTGTGCTGGTTTTATGGTCTTGCGTGCATTAGTCTTGGGCTGGAAACCTTTGATACTTATTTGAGAGTTTTTTTTCTTTACAAGGCATGCAAAGTCCCGACCTATTTTTAAGGTCAAAAATAAGAACTTGACATTTTACATGCACATTGCATTCAGGAGCATTAGGGAATTGCAAATTCACTTTATATTCACAGTTTTAAAGTCTGAATGCTCAGAGGTGAGATTTTGCATATTCTCCTAGCAATCAGCTGGTATTCTTCATGTCTTACTTGAAAAATGGGTTTCCTTTTCTTCTCTGTCTTGATCTATTGTTTGTGTGTGTGGTTTTCAAGCTTTGAGTTATCTGTGGGCTGTTCCATTTCAAACCTTGGGCACAAGGAGTAAGGAGAGGAAACAAGAAGGTGATTGTTTCTTTCCTCCTTATTCTCGGAAGTTGCCTTTGTACCGCAGTGTTTGGTGATGCAGAAGAACTTCTCTCATCCCTGGTAACGTGTCTTGCAGCTGTCCACCTAAGTAGTATTTGTCCTGTGAGGGAGGAAACAGGAAGTGATTTCAGTGTGTAGTCCAAAGTTGCCTAAGAGCTATGCCTAAAGGTCATTTTTTGTGGCAGCTGTAATACAGAACCTGGTAGATGTTTTGCTGGTTCTGTAGATCAGAGCCACTGCATTTCAATAATTTGATGTGTGTGCTTACCTTGTAGGACACTTTGCCATTGTGGACCCTCTGGGTGGAATGGAGTGAAGGCACAAACAGCAAGGAAGACACAGAAGCTCTCTACCAGGTACTTAGCTAATGGAAACCTAATTTTTATGACAGTGTGTAAATAAACAGGAACAATGTGTGTGGATGGAACATGTAACAAATGCTTTATACTGCAGTTCCTTCGTGGATGTGTTGTTAACAAAGTATTTCAAGCAAAACTGTGTTACCAAAAATCAGTTGGACGTGGGCTTATAAGCACAAATGTTGTCCCCATGCTTCTAAGACATCTAGTTTGTAAGCACAGTGATGGACTCTTCTTTTACTTTGTGGTCTAGAATTTTTGCTCTATTTTCAGATGTCTGTCTGAACAAGGAAAAGAGAATTTTCCAACTTGTGAAAACATAACCTTGTTACAGAAAACTCAAGAACAAAACTAGGACTTTAATCTCACTGTAAATTCCCTAAATAGGTCAGGGCAGAACATTTCCTCTTTGCCTGTCATGATGGGTTGAGTTTTTTTTTTTTTTTTCAACATAAACCGTGTATTTCTGGTGAAAGCTTGAATTCAGTAGTTTGCAGAGCATTGTGAAATGCTCTGCGTGAAGGATGTTCGGGAAACGCCAATTGCCAGCTGTATGGAATATTACAGGAGACGTGTTTTAGGTTACAACTAATAATTTGAAAAATACTGGATGTGTTACCTAATGCTGTCTTTCAGACATCATCTGGGATGTTTTGGTTCAGTACTTTGTCTCACTTATGAGATCTGCTTTGTTAGATGCCTAATGAGGGAGAGGGTACTGTTTGGTTTCTTCTCCCTTGTTGCCTTTTAATTGTAGCTTATGTGGTTGGTTTGTTGTTTGTTTTTTGTTTTTCTTTGAAACTTGCAGAGATCCTTAAGTTCCACAACTCCTGCATGACTATGAAAGAAAAGTATCTTGACTGGACTTACAGAAATGGTGGTTATAAGAAAGTTAAAAGAGTCTTTACCAGGTGACAAATAAAACCTTCAAACCTGATTGTGCTAGAGCATATTGTTAAAAGGCTTGAAGTCTCAAGTTGCTTATGTTTTTACTACAGCCTGTGTGAAAATCGTCCGTTTTCACTTGACTTCTTCAGGAAGATGATCCAAATAGAAAAGAAGCAAGTAAGTTATCGAATATCCAATTAGTACCTTGTATTTGTAAAATACACTTCTAACTTTGGATTTCAGTAGGAAACGGGGCTTATGCGTAGTGTCATTATTTTGTGATCTGTTCATATTTGTCTTCTAAAGTGATTCATAGCATGTAATACAAAACCAAGTTCCATGGTAACTAATCTTTGGCAGTGTGCATGTGTGCACGTAATTACCATGACTCTTTTTCTTTGTAAGAATCTAATCAAGCTGCAGATTCTCTTCTGTACAAAATAAATGACCTTTTAATACCTTCCTTTGTTAGGAATCCTGCAAAATGCTTCATCTGAGAGAATACTATGAACGTGCCTTGAGAGAGTTTGGTTCAACAGATTCTGGTAAGGGAATTTTATTTATTTATTTATTCACTCACTGATGCAGTGTGTCATTTTATTTCCATCCATTTCAAAAGGTAGCTGTTTGTTCTGCCCTTGTGATTGCTGTCATGCAGAGTGGACCTTGTTTCTTCTGTGCCATTAAGTACATGACGTTCTGTAGCGACTCTTCACTTTCAGTCCAGAGTCGTTGTTCACAGTGGGGTGGCTTCAGCAGAACTACTAGCAAATAAGTTTTTGACACTGGCTGGCATAAGAGATGCGTATCACCTTTAGTTTGGATTTGTGAACAGTATGGAGCTGTGTTTTTATAATCAAGATTTCCGTAGTATTCCTTTTTAGAAAGTAAACAGCTCAATTACTGCTGAATTATTTCTTAAGACATCACTGTTCTAGGTGGGAATAGAACAGTGGTTCTTTTGGTCCTCAAGGGGTAGGGGGTTGTAATTTCACAAAATAAAACTTACTGCATTAGCATCATAGATACTTGCAAAAAAAGAGAGTTTCTAGGTTAGGTTCAGTATTTTTGTTAAGTAGTATCCAATCAAAACCTAAATAAAAATTCTATTTTTCTTTTAAAGATCTCTGGCTGGATTATATCAAAGAGGAGCTAAGTCATCCCCAAGGCAAACCAGAAAACTGTGGGAGCATTCACTGGCGAGCTATGAAGATGTTGCAGGGAGACCTGGTGGAAGACTTTGTTTCCAAATACACTTTACTGCAAACTGGACATTTATGAAAAACTCTAAATAGTTACAAAATGCTTCTGGATTTTTTTTTAACTTCTTTGTATAAAGATAAATATGTGTCTGAATCGTATTAAAGTGTACCTTCTTTACACGCTTGCATACGCGGGGAAAAAAGCATCGGCCCCATTGCAGTTGTTGCTAGTGTTGCTTCTGCCAGGGGCAAGTTCAAGTACTCAGAGGAGAAAGCAAAGGCATCTCTGAGGGTGTTCTTCACTGAGACTTCTAGAGCACACTCTACCTCCTGCCTAAACATTCAGATGGAATAGTTTTAATGCATCAGCTTTGACACTCTGAAAAGCTAGTGTTACAGCATGTAAGTGTGGAAAAAAAACCCCATGGAAAGTACATGTGTGGGAGATCTTTGTATCTTACTGAGTTGAATAATGACAAGTGGAACACTGAAGAAACAATCTGTAAAATGATGGTATTTATTTATTGTTTCCTATCCTTGAAGTCATCTGTAATCCTTCTTTGAAAAACAAAACCAACCTCTGCACCCACCTTTCATTAGTGTTTGCATTCTGCAGGTGACTATGAAATGTAGAGGAGAGCTGAGATCTGTTACAAATGTCACAAAATGATGTGTCAGGAGAAGGTTCTGACCTACACTTCACCTTTCTGTCCAGGTGCCTGAACGATGGGTAACAGGTTTTTGAGATCCTGCTTTCCTTATCTGATTGCAGAGACACATTTTCCCATGTCAAACCCATTAAATCAGCATAGGTGCTGCAGTACAGGAGCATGTGGCAACAGTTCCTTTAATTTCCCAGTGACTGATCAGTGACATAATGACAATATAGAAAAATACTTATTGAAGATTTTTCACACAAGTAGAAACTGCAAAGCTGGTAACAGCACTATTTCTGGAAGCAGGCCCTTTTTCTTCATGTGTTCTAGTTCCTTATGAGCTTTGCCCTCAGTGCACTGCCTGCCGCCCCTCTGAGCCGTGTGTTTCCCAAAATCACCTTCAGCTGGCCCCTGTTGAGGGAGCACCTGCAGATCGTCCGTCCAGGTGCTTCCCATCTCTCTGTGATTTCTCTGAGCATGCTTCTAGCAGGAGGCCTAACGGAGAGGGTTGTCTTTGGGTGAAATTTAAAAGCCACAGAGTCCGGAGAGGCGTTGATGTTTTATTTACAACTTTTTGTGAATGTACATGTGTTTTATGGCAGCTCTTTGCCTGTGTTTCTTGGCCTTTTTTCTCCAGTTGCTTTAACTGCTTGTGTCTGCCCTCAGGTCAGGTTGTTTTCCTCTCTCACGGGACAGAATTCCCGGTAGCGGTGACAGAATTCCCGCGTCATGCGCTCACACAGCGCAGGTGGCGGCGGCCCCTGAGGGGATGTGGGAGCCCTTGCGCGCGGG